GCTGAGGCCTTTCGGGACAAGGTACTTACAAAATCACCCGGGGCGCGCTAGGGTACAGAATTGGGCAACCGGGCTAGGGCATAAAACTCGAGCAGGGCGCAGAATTCGCCAAATCGGGCTAGGGTACAAAATTAGGCAAATCGAGATAGGCTACACAGTTTGGAGAGGGTACAGAATTAGCCAAATCGGGCGAGGGTACAAAATTAGGCGTGTCGGGTGAGGGTATAAAATTAGGCGAATCGGTGTAGGGCACAAAGTTGGCTACTCCGCGCCGCCCTTGAAAGAGGAGCTTTGGCCCCCGTGGTGCTGCTCTTCGCTAGACAAATATAAGCCCTGTCCGAGGGCGCAAGGTGAGGCCTTTCGGGGCAGGGTACGTACCTACAAAACTGCCCGGGGTGCGCTAGGGTACAGAATTGGGCAGCCGTGAGAGGATACAAAATTCGAGCAGGGTGCAGAATTTGCCAAATCGGGCTAGGGTACAAAATTAGGGAAATCGGGACAGGGTACAAAATTCGGGGATGGTACAAAATTGGCCAAATCGGGGTAGGGTACAAAAGGAGCCGATTCGGGTGAGGGTATGAAATTAGGCGAATCGGGGTAGGGTACCAAAGTGGCCAAACCGCGCAGCCTCCGACGGGAGGGCTTTGGCTCCCGCGGTTCTGCTCTTCCGACGCTAGACAAAAATAACCCCTGCGGCCCCACCAAACCCCTGCTTTATATATATTTATGAAGGTGCACTGAAGCTGTAGTGGGTGGAACTTCTACTATGTCCTGCTCGATCTTCATCTTTTTCTCTCCTTTCATTTTCTTTTTGGAGCTGTGCTATTGTGTACTGCTAGCACGGACGAGTTGTGCAACTACTAAAAACCCGCAGACAACGTAGTTTTGTGCCCTATTTCCGTCAAGAGGAAGTGAACAGAACAAAATTACAGCTCGTCAATGATTTTTTCGTCACGCGCGCGTCGGCCCTGGTACAGAGCGGAAGTGGAGGGCGGACGGCCAGTGAGATAAGGGAAATGGACGAAATGCTGGGCAACATGAACTACAGCACCGAGCAAGACGATGAAGAGGCCTTCATTCAAGCCTATCCAACATGACAGATTTTTGGGCTCGACGGAGGGAATTTTTGTTCATATGTTCATGCATGATTCTTAATGTTGATGTGCCACTGCCGGTGGGGGTACTTCTTAGTTCCGGCGAGACTTTGCAAGCAATAGCAAGCGGAGCAAATAAACCAAAATAAATGGAATTATGCACCCAAAAAATTCATCCTCCGGGGTAAGTAGTTCCTTCAAATCTCCTTCTCCATAAATCCCAAATGGCGTTGTTCCAAGAAATGGACCTCATGGAGCAGAAAACCCGAGAAACCGATACGACCTGCTCAAACGGTACAATCTCAAACGTTACAATAGAGTATGGAAATCTGTGATGCAAACGGTGCATGACCTAGCCTCCTCCCACAGCATTGCGCATGACAAGTTCTGGAGTCCCAAACCGCAGTAGAATCTGGCGAAATTTGTATTGCAGTGTGGGTCTGTCATGAGCATGCTCATCATGCAATACAAAATCCAGATTCTTTTGTAACGCTTGAGATTGTGACGCTTCTTGAGCGGGTCATAACCGATGTGAAGCTCGATGATGTCCCGAAGCAGGTCACGCTGCCACACCCCGGAACCTCCGGAACCATGACGGGCGACGAAAGTTCGGACCCGACGGTTCGGAGCTTTTTCTATGCACTGCAAAGGTATCGTACTAGTATGAATCGCATGACAAATGTCCTTAGAATGAGAAATGAAATTTGTAATGCGGATTCAGCATAGCAAATGAATTTGCAATGCATGACTGCGATTAATGTTACCAGTGAGATGCTTTTGCAATGCATATTCTATCCCCGAAGACAAGTCCGAATGACCGGACGGAGTCGCGGGAATCAAGATCTATGAGAGTGCACAACTCCCTCCCCTGATTTGTGTAGCTGCATCCACAGCAATACAAACACCAGCACGCGTAGTGCTTATGCATGATAAATTTGTGTTCCTAGTGCAGTACTGTTTCGGCTTCGAAATTTGTCATGCAAGCAGTGCCATGAGGCAGCGACTGGATTCGGGGTTTTGCATTACAAATAAGGGGGAGGTGGACCTGTGCACTGTCATAAGATCGGTCAAAATTGTCGAAGCGGTGATAATATCAAACGCAAAAATGCCCGGGTCTGGAAGTAGATTGCGAGATTTGTAATGCTGGTCTGGCATGAGCATGACTCTGAACAACTCTGTGTTGCGTGGCCGGGAAGCGCTCCTCTTGGCTGTAATGCAAAAACACAGCTTCTCATGCGGAGTACGCAACTTAGAATTACGGAAAAACTTGTCATGCTTTGTAGCGCATTACAGTGTAGTGCTGAATATTCCTTGTCTTGCATCACAAGTTTCCAGACCCAGACACATTTGCAGTTCATAGATAAGCAGCAGTCCAAAGTCCAACATCGCAAACAGTACTGGCGTATCCTGTGCAAAAGTATCGTACTCGTATTGGAATCATGCATTACAAATCTTTTTGTTATGTCAAATCTGCATTACAAATTTCATTTCCCATGCTGAGGAAATTTGTAATGCGTTTATACGAGTGCGATACTTTTGCAGTGCATACGGCGGGACCATGCTGCAGGAATACCAGGCGAGATTAGCAGAAAGCCGGAAATCGAATTTCAAAACAACAGCCGGCAGTAGCGGCGGCAGTAGAACGAACGCAACTCTGCAGAACATAACTTATCCGGAGGGCGAGAGCAAAAACACGGTGGATTTGGATAAGGTGATAGAATCTAGTGCGGAGCAAGGCGAGGATTTTAGCAGCGAGATGTTGACAAGTACAGCACTACCAGCAGCGCCAAAGAAATCCCGGGGAAAGTTGGAAGTGCGGGTGAGCTCGTCACAGGCCGCGGGGGCTGATCGCGCAGGAGGCAGTAGAGCCGCGCCCAGGAATAGTCTCTACACGGCCACGGATCACTTCTCGACCCTGCGACACAGTACTATCATCTACCGTTTTTGATAAAAGTGTTTTTTTTCTGTAAGAAGGTTAGTTTTGGTCGTTCTCATCTCTACAACTACGCATGCAGTGAGTGAGTGCCTCGTCTACCTGTTAATATTACCAGCAGCGCAGTAGAAGTGGCAGTACTAAAGAAGATGCAACACAAGATGGGTTTTTTCAAAAATATCAACAGATTTCATGCAGTATGGATCGTCGCCTTCCCGCATCCGCGAGGTCATCTTCGAAACAAACGAATCAATATCGGATGTGCTTTACGGCAGTTGAAAAATCTAAAACTCAGGTCGGCCATGGTCCACCGATTTTGCAAAGGCATCTACCATGCAAGAAAGAACATGACTTGGAAGGGGAAATTTCCATGTTCTTGGAGCGTCTGTTTTCTGTATCCTAAAGTTTTTCTGAGTGACAGCGCTCTGGTGTCGCAACTCATGGCCGCTTGATTTAGATTTTATCCCTGATTTCCCGAAGCTGTGGAGCGATTCTGTCCCGCTGTTCATCCCCGACGCCACTTCCATCCTCGAGTCCGTCGAAATGGCGTGCGACAGCTCGGTCTTTGTCGGCGATTTTTTTGCCGCGGTTTTATTGAAACACTACCTGGAAATTTCGAATTTGCCCCTGGGGATGACGCAGAGGGACGCGAAAGCCATGGCTATTCGGAAGTAAAGATGTTGGATGAAGTAGTGGATTTCGTTTGCAACTTTGAAATTTCACCGTCAAGAACATGCCGCGCTGTTGTTCCAAGCGCAAGTGCTACTTAATCGCTGACGATTCATCTTCAGCATCACATGCAACCTACAGGTACCTGCACTTCAACTTCCAGAACCTGTTCAAACCGGAAATCGCCGGTGGTCCGAGAGGGCGGCAACAGCAGTCGCAGATCAGACCTTCCGGGGGCGACTACTGAGTCCTCGGGTTTTCGGTGGTCTATTAAGAATAAGGTAACAAGGAATCTAGACGTGACCGGGGGGGTCACGCCCGTCCGGCCGGCCGGACGGACGGCACGTGACCGGGGGTCGGTCGTGGCGCTAGGAGGTGGTGGCCGCGGTGGACCGCGCGCCCGGGCAACTAAAAAAAAAAAAAGGTCATGAGCTCGGTCCTTCACTGAAGAACTGCCTCTCTTCGTCACGCTCCGCCCCCGGTCACGCGGCCGGGGGCTGTTAGCTAGCTCGGGCGCCCAACTAAAAAATCCGCCGTCGGTGACGCGGCCGGGGGCTTCTAGCTACCGAGGGCCAAAGTTGCTGCGGCATTCAGCGCCGAACTCGCCCCGAGGCCGGACTACCCCCGGTCACGTGCCGTCCGGCCGGACGGACGGACGTGACCCCCCCGGTCACGTCGAGTTTCCCTGTTACTATATTCTAAACACGCGGAAGATTTTGCTGCGGAAGCGCAGGGGCGAGTTTTTCAAAAACAAGCTTTAGCTCACGGGAACAACATACTTAAAAACAGCATGGAGCTTCGCGGAGGAAGAGCCGTGTCCACAGCGGAGGAATGTTTATTCATGACGCAAAACGCAACTACTTAGAAAATGAAATCCAAAAGGAGTTCTATCCACAGAGAAGATAATAAATTACGCTCACGCAAACAAACTCAGAAAAAATCTAGACATCAGAGAGTTTTAAAGTTACTTTTTGATCACGATAGCGCACACGACGACTGTAGTTTTTTGTATTTAGATGCACTATACGCATCGCAGTGACAACGCGACGAGTCCGAGAGGAAGAATAATAGGGCACTAGGTGGCCCTTTTCAGCCCATGTTGCCCCGTTTGTTTTAGATTTTCGGCGTTCCTTTTCAAGGTTCAGAAATGCAAGTAGTGGTCGTATCACTTGTAGTTCCTTGCGATCCTTTTCGGACACCAGATGCGTCAATCCGATCTTTTAAATTTTCGTGTGCTTTGTTGAGCAAAGGTTCATGAAGCTCCTCGTGTACAGAAGGTTTTGTAGGTTCTTCGTTGTCTGGATCAACTCCACGTGAAAAAGAAAGTACTCGTATATAATTTAGGACCCCACCGGCGAGGACTTTCGCTCACAGAAAAAGACAACAAGTCGGCTTGGAGATAGTCCGTTAGGTACAGGGTTGATAAAATAGGAAAGATGCGGTCCGTCTTTCTCTCCCTCGTAGCGTCCTCCGCTACGACATCTTCTGCGCTTTTGATGAAGGAGAAAGCCCAAACGTCCGCCGCTTTCACTTTGAAGGAACAGGAGGCCGCGAAGCAGGGGTTCGGGTTACCGGGATGTGATTTAGACACCTATGTCCGCTACAAGGTCACGTTTTGCTCCGGGACGAAGGGAGAGGGCGGAATCAAGCCGTTGAAGAACCCGTACTTTAAGAAGCTGGAAGCGGACGTCAGCGAGTATAAGAAGGAGGGAAACCGCGAGCTGGGCTGGAAGAAGTGGATGGGGGTAAAGCTAAAGCAGCTACTTTACTACGTGTTTTTGATGTGCATATAATGCTGGTGCAGTCGGGTATGCATGACAAAACGACATTTTCATGCGTGATCGTGCATTACAAAATCAAAAAGCGAAGTCACACCATGAAAAAATCCAGGACACCATCGTCGAAAACTCCTTCTCCGTCTGCCACAACGAAATCGGTGCTTTATCCTGTGCAAAAGCATCGTAGTCGTAGTAATTCTTGGAATCATGCATTACAAATCTCTTTCCTAAGGTGAATCCGCACTACAAACTTCATTTGTCATGCTGAGGAAATTTGTAATGCATTTATACGAGTGCGATAGTACTTTTGCCCTGCATACGCTTTCGCAAACGGCGACTCCTGCACCTACGAATTTAAAAACGAGGCGGGGCAGGTCATGCCGACGGACGCTGTCAGCTTATTCGGGGTTTCTGTGTAAGCGGTTGAGTGGCAGAGCCAGAGACTACATCAGTTTGATGTGATTCTTCAGAAAACTATAAGCTGTTTCGGGTCAGTCGCTATGTAAGATTTTTGGTTTCGGGTTAACAAGGTTTGAAGTTTTAGAAATCGAAATGCAAAAAAAAATGGATCTGCGAAAAATTATGATGCGCTACGAAGATGAGAAAGGAACTTTGATTACTTTGATATACTGCAATGGTTTGACGAACTGAAACTATTTTCAGAACACATTTGGTCGACACTGAAACTTTGATTACTTTGATATACTGCATTTTCTATGCTTTTTTATGATTACTTTGATATACTGCAACTTTCGCACCCGGTTCTCATCTTCATCTCGCGCATCTAAATTTTGCTTTGACAGTTTGCTGCATGTTTAGGGGAAATGAAAATCTTGAGCGGCAGCTCAGAAGCGGTTGAGGAAAGGCAACGATTGAGATATATCTGCGGTGATTTAAAAAGCTGAGTGGTCGTGTTCTCGGTATTTATGTCCGTTCCCGAAGATGTAATTTGAGGCTTCGCTCTGTTTTTGCTCGTCGCGCGTCTCCTACCACAGTTACTTTCTTGTCAAGATCTGACTCTTGTCGGTGAAAATGAGACAGAGATCTTCATCTTGTGGGCTACACTGCACGTGGGCCACGTGGTCCTACTCTTTCTGAGCAGCGTAAGTTCTTCTGCGGTTTTTTACGTCGTTCTTTTCCCGCTCCACCAGCACGGAAAATTTAGATTACATCACTATTCGGAATATCAATAGCTACGCCTTCTAAAGTCCAATAATACGACCATGCGGAGGGCGCGTCCGGGCGCCGTGTCGCTCGTAGCGGCCTTTACTGCTCTCACCGATGCGGCCAAATCCCCGGAAACCAACGGCATCGCCAAGGTGCTAGAAATGCTTGCTGGCATGAAGGAGAAGGCGATCAAGGAACTGCAGGATGAGAAAGTAACCTTCGCCAAATTTTCCCAGTGGTGCGACGACACGAAGATAGAATTGGACTCGGCGATAAAGAAGGGCGGTACCATGATCGACGATTATGCATTGCAAAAGGAATATTGCACTAAGTCTAGTAGGAGGTCTCGTGGCAAGATTTCTAAAGAGGAAAAAATGCAGTTTGTGATGCTGTTTCACCTAAGGTGGGAGATATGTCATGCGCGATTGCAACTAATACGAGAACGAGTGCCGCGATACTTTTGCACAGAATAACAAATACACCGGGGCAATCGCGATGAACGAAGGAAAGAGCACGGAGCTCGCAAGCGAAATCGAGGAACTCGCTGGTAAAAGAATTATACTCTTTCAAAGTTACATGCTTCTTTAAATTTGCATGTAGTGGCGATTTCGATGAAGTTAGAATTTGAGTTTTAGACTCATACATAATGACGATGTGTAGATGTGGACGCAATGCAAAATTTTTGCTTTTGGCCCTTCAGATACAATATAACACATTTAAAAAATACCAGCTTCCTCCGCCGCTCTGACCGAAAAGAAAAACGCGGAAGTCGCCCGTCGAGCGGAAGAAGCCTCTGCCAGCGCGAAGATAAAGGCGGAAATCCAGGAAAACATCATCGCGGTGGGCAAGGCGATTGAAGTTTTGAAGGCCGAACCAAAGTCCGTCGCGTTTACGCAAACGAAAAAGGAGGCTTTGATGCAAATGGAGCAATCTACCGCCATGTCCAGTAGGCAGAAGGAGATCGTGTCGCTGTTGGTCACAGGTACTTTTGTTTTTCGCGAAGATGAAGTCAAAAGTTTTTAATTATTTTGAATTTTGCAGCATCACATCGAGGGATAATTGTCATTAGCTTTGCTTTGTATGGTAAGTTTTTAACTTGTTCAATGGCGCAAAGGGATTTGAACAGCGACATTTTCCTACATGATGTACTTCTAAATCAAAATTATCCAGGTGTCCCTGCGTACGAGAACCAGTCCGGCGGTGTTATCAAGATGCTCGAGGACTTGATGGACCAGTTCGTCGCGGAGAAATTTAAAGAAGAGAAGGAAGACAGCATCAAAGCCGCCGCTTCCGACAAGATCGTGACGAATTTAAACGTATCAAATGCAAATACGTCTGGGTCATCTGGAGGAGCAAAAGGTTTGTCATGCAGCTTTCGCATGAGCCAGAAAGTCTGGAATGCGGGCCGTAGCATCACAAGTTAAAGTTTTGAGAAGGTTTCCCTAACTGTTGAATCCATACGAGAACTCCGCATGAGAATGGCAATCAAAAGAGAGGACTTCTTCTTTTCCTGGTCACGCAATACAGATTTCTGCGTCGATCAGATTTAGCATGACAAACTCGAACTCTTCCACACCCAGACATGTTTGCATTTGATAAAACGGCCAGATCCGCTTGGTTGAAGAAGACAAGACCCGCTCTGAGGGCGCCAAGGCAAAGCACGACGCCGCCGCGGGAAAGGCGAGCGAGGACAAAGCGGACGCTATCCTGAGTAGAAACACCCCTACACCATAGTCAAGTTGATAAATCTGCAACACAAAAAAACTCAAAGTCATGGGAGTATATGCATGACAGGTTCCTGTCTGCAGCGTAGTGCTGGTTAGCGAGGACAGCCGCATCACAAAGATGGCCCCTTATGCTGTTTACAGCACCACAAATCCCAGAACACGACTACAATCGCCACGCATGATGCGGATGCGCATTACAAATGATTCTGTGGATGCAAATCTGCAAGACAACTAGGGGGTGGGGATGTTTTTACTCAGGATAGACGCGGAAGAGACGCTCGCGAAGAATGTGAAAAACGAAAAGCAGATGTCCGCGACGTGTGCGAAGAAGCACGCCGACATGGACGTCAGGACCCAAATATGAAGTGCAAAAGTATCGTACTCGTATAAGTGCATGACAAATTCCCTCAGCGTGAGAATTAAGATTTGTAATGCGTATTTACTTTGAGGAAAAACTTGTAACTATGCAAGACTTGCATTTATACGAATGCGATACTTTTGCACAGGATACCAGACCAGAACGGCGGAGATCGAAGCGATTGGCAAGGCGGCGGAGACTATGATACACAAAAGTTCGTCACAAGGACAATAATCACTCATGTTGCGCATTTTTGCAATACAAACACAAACGTGTCTATCATGTGCAATAAAAATTCACCTTCACCACATTGTTCGAGTTTCGTACGCGAGTTGCCGTGTGTTTGTTCGCCAAAAGATGAAAAAGCTGTGTTGGTAGAAAAAATTATCATTCAAAATCTGCACCAAAGCAGTAACTGCGGCGAACTTTTTTCCCTTCCATAGAGACAATCGAAGGCGTTGCCGGGTTGAAGACCGCTGCGGGTTTGGTGCAGCAGGCGACCACCTCGTTCCTGCAGCTGTCCGCCAACAAAGTGTTCTCCAAACAGCACTCTTCCGACGTCGACGTCGCGTCTCTGCTCCGCACCGCGGGCCAGAAGCAACACAGCAAGCGGCTGCAGCTCCTCGCTTTGAAGATCGAGTCCCTTTCGTCCGTCGGCGGGCCGTTTGATAAGATCAAAAAGATGATCGAAGACATGATCATGAAGCTAAAGAAAGAATCCGCGGAGGAAGCCGGGAAGAACGCCCAGTGCGTCCAGTTATGCAGTGAAAAAGTAGGGTAGAAGTGGTACTGGTGGAACTGTTGTCGCATGACAGATCTCCTTTCAGCTAACTTGAATGTGCGTGACAAGTTAAAGTTTTCGTTTTTCTTCCTAAAAATGTTGAAATTTGTATTGCAATTCCCACTAGGACTAGTACCACAATGCAGGTCTTTTTTGAATCCATAAGACTGGATGAGCGACAACAAGCAAGACATGGAAGATTCCCAGGAGCGGCTCGACGCACTGAAGATCGAGATCGAGAAGCAAACCTCCACCGTTGAGTCTTCCACTGCGAAGTTAGCGGAGCTCGCCGACGAGGCTGCGAAGGCGCAATCCACCCTCGCAAAGGCGTATCACGAGAAAAAAGTGTTACAGTTACCCAGGTGTTGGAGTTTCTGCATCACAGATTTTCTCTTGGTGGCAGAGAAAACGTGTAATGCGAAGATCATAAGCGAAAGCAGGAACAAAACGAGGCTCCCAAGCATTTCCTGCATGAGAAAGGTTGTCTGTGTTGCCGGTCTTGCATAGACTATGTGTGTAACTGTAACGCTTTTTTCTTGCGATAAGGCGGGCAAGACGCGGGCGGAGGAAAAAAAGGAAAACGCAGCGACGGTTGCGGACGCCAAGGTCGGGAGCGAGGCCGTGGACAAGGCCATTCAGGTATAATTGACGGAATTTTCATCTGTTTTCAGCATGACAGAACAGGTTTCCTTCGCTATTTGCGCATTAGGAACAGGTGTAGGTGGACTTTTGAACCTTTATCAATCTCGATTGCCAAATCGTGATCGCTGCTTCACAAAGAAAAATAATGTTGTTTGGTGTCCTGCAAGAGAAAGTGAAATTTAGTACTAGTCCCTGAATTTAAATTGCAATGATAAAAAACTATCAGATCCTGAACGATTTCTATGGTGACGCTGCGACGAAGACCTCCCTGGTTCAAGTGAAGCAGTATCCTGTGCAAAAGTATCGTACTAGTATGAATCGCAATACAAATTAGCTCAGCATTACAAACTTCACTTTGTAATGCTGATTCACCTTTATTTTTGTATTGCATAACTGCAATTAGTACGAGTGCGATACTTTTGCACTGCATAAGCAGCCAGAAGTGGACATGTCCGACATGCCCGACACCTTCGATTCCCCCTACACGGGCCAACAGTCCATGGGCGGTGGCGTCGTCGGTATCATGGAAGTGATTCTCTCGGACTTTTTATTCTGTTTAAAAACGTCCCCACCCGGCCCAGAGTTCTTGTCATCGACAAATCTGCATGACAAGAAGTAGTCTCTCGTGCGAGGGAGACCGATGAGAGACATTTTCTAGTCGTGGTTTGGAATAATTTGTGATGCTAGAAACAGCACGATGTGCTAGATTTGCGATGCTCCTGAACTAGCTTTAAACGCAATTACATATATGAGGACAAACTTGTCATGCGAAACAAACTAAAGCTGGTGGATTTGTCTAGCAGATTTCCCATCTTGGCTCTGATATGGGGACGTTTTTATGCAGGATACCTTCTGAAGCTCCTCCAAGAAACCGAAGCTGCGGAGTCCGCCGCACAGAAGGAGTACGACGAGTTGGTCCAAAATGAAGCCGAGGCCAAAGCCGCCCGGGACGCGCAAATGTCTCACTATGCAATGCAAATATGTCATCTGGTTCCTCTGAAAGAACGCTGCAACTTGTCAAGTTTCTCATGCGGGAAAGGCATGATGGAGATCTTACGGAATCTAGCATGCTAGGTCCTGCATCTTCCCACCCCTCATGATGTGTCAAGGCCATGGAAAACCTGCTTGACAAGCCTTCGGCTCATCATCTGGCAGATGACCCAGACATATTTGCAATGCATACCCACTTGGAGAAGACCAAAGCGAAAGCAAAGGCGGACTTGACCCAGGCTATGGGAGATTTGGAAACGGAAAAGTCCACCATGTCGTCGATCGTCGAGGCCAAGCGCGTGATCGAACAGGATAAGGGGTGTGTCATGGGCGCGGGGAATATCCACAGTAAATTTCCTGTACACGTACAAATGCGGTCCCTGCATGACAAAACTTGGCTTCGATCCTAGTTTAGCATGACAAGTTTTATGCTCCAAATTGGCGAAATTTGTGATGCATCTTGTACATGTACGGGAAACTTGTATTGCATAGGCAAGACACCGGATGAGCTGTTCAAGGAAAGGTCGGACGCGAGAAAGGCGGAGATGGAGTCTTTTATGGCGTTCTCAGCTGTTACATCCTCAGCTGTTACATGGATTTGTGATGCAAGAACTGCAACAGTGAACAAATAGGGGACCGACCTTGCGCTTCTCGCATGACAGATTTGGCAAAGATTCTCAGCCTGTTGGGCTCGTCGGGAATTTGTCATGCGAAGTAGCTTCATCGTGCCGATTCTGATTGCAATTTTGCATGACACATCATGTAACAGTTAAGAATGTAACATTTGAGAACGCCATATCTTTAGGGCAGGCGTTGGAGGTGTTGAAGGTGCAAACGTAGAGGAGTGTTTGTTGTCGGGATATTAATTTACGTATGCTATTGCTAGTGCCTTTTCGTACTAGGAATTGAAGTTTCACTTTCATCTCAAGGAATTTTACAATTTTAGATTTACTGAAGATGAGTGTTTCACGCTTTTTTTTCTCTCTCCCCAAAACCCGAGCTGCAACTAGCAGGACGTCCATTCTCGTTTCTATAGTCTTAATGGTACATCAAATGGCAGTTATTTTTTTGGTACATCTTTTTGGCAAAGCAAGTCCTAGTCTTAATGGTAAATCAATGGTACAGAAGATTCTCGAGTAGAATGGTAAATGGTAAACAAGTCGAATGGTAAAAGGAGATCATGGATGGACTGTGTTGTGGCTCGACAGTTGTGAGTGAAAGAAGATAAGAGTGTGTGGGGAAACAGAAAAAAAAACTTGGAAGTACAACAGCTTGTATGATTACGATATTCACCTTCACGACAAACACAAAAGTACGCACACGGTGCGTTTTGATTTTATGTATGTCAGGCCAGGCTGATCATGCTCCATCAAAAAAACCGTACTGCTGAGAGGTTGTGTTCTTCCAGGCACATGATCCACGCGCGCGATTTCAGTTGTGGCGCGAACAGGAGAGAGGTTAAAGTTGCGTCTTTAGGTCTTTGACCAAGCTAGTGCAGTCGATTGATGTTGACCGGTTTCGTGAAGTGTTGTTTCCTGATGATGATGATGAAGAGAGTGGTGATACTGTGTCGAGCGGCCTGCGTTTTGCTTCTGAGGATCCTCCAGATGACCACCAGCTGTTGACGTTGCATCTCGAGCGGCAGCACGCGGATATCTGCCGCGAGGTCGAAGAGTGCCCCTTCTTCACCACACGGCGATACGACCATGGGAGTAGGGCGATCGCGTCCGTGCGCTGCGTCTGCCAGGAGTGTCGCCAGTTTGTCTCGCGTCGTCAGGCCAGGGGAGCGAGGGCAAGAGCGGCGTCCGGGTCTTCTTCCGTTTCAATTCCAGACTCGATTGATGGTGATGATGTTGATGTAGGGTGCGAGTCAGATGAGGACTTCGTGCTTGAGGTTGGTGCTCGGGGTGAGCCCAGCCCGGTAGCTAGCCGCGGCGCAGCAGCCGATGACGATCCTGCTGAGCTCAAGTTGCGTTTTCCCTCTGACCAACAGCGGCTCTTTGCTAACCTGAAGACCGCGTTTCGGCACATGCGCTACAGGAAACAGAAAGATGCGGAAGCGGTTTTTGCGTCACTGATCCCGCCCCCTCCTGCGAAGCCCAAGGAGACCACTACCAGCGCGAGACCTGTCCGTGCTCTCGACGCTGACGCCCCCCCGCAACGATCCAAGAAGCCCACGCCCTCCCAAGCGCTTGACCCCGATCTGCGTCCGGAGCAGCTCGTCGTCGATGTTGGGCATGCTGATGTTGTTGCTGGTGCCGAAGCTGACGGTGATGACCCTCCCGCGCCGCTTCCCAAGGGTATTACGTGGTGCACATCCATTCCAGGAGCGGAGTCTCGTGCCTTTGGTGGAGTTTTGCTTGTGCGGGTTACGAGCGCCAAGCTCCCTGACGGGACCACACACCACGTTTCCCGCCACGTTGATCCAGCCGCCTATGGGAACAGCGCGACTTTAGCAATCGAAGCGGCAATTGCGTTGCGGGCTCAGGTCGTCGTTGACCCGGCGCCCTTCATTGCGAAAACCAGGGCGATGCGGAAGCCGAAAAAAAAGAAGAAAAGTGGTGAAGGTGTGGCGATCGCTCTGAGTGCTGTGAAGTAGATGTTGTTTTTTTAAGAGATAAGCATGTTTTTTGTAGTTAGTAGGTCCTGGGGGAGATAGAGTTTTGGTAGTTTGAATTTCATCTTTCTCTGCATAACTATGAGGCTTTCCTCTTTTAACAGTATAGTTCGTTAGTAGCTTCGTGCAAAAAAGAAAAAGAAATACGATATCTCCCGGTCGGTTCGTTCAAACAAAATAAAAAACACAAAAAAAAAAACCTGTATCTTTCTAGTAGTGCAGTCTCTCTGTCTCTTTGCAGCAAGGTAAAAGTCAAACTATCTGAGTTTGGCTTTCTTTTTTCTTTTACCTTTCTTTTTCTCAGCTGAGAGCTTTGCTAGTCCGCAACACGAGGGTGTACTGATGAGAGACGAGTGACGTCGTGTTTTGTCTCTCTTGGTAACGCCGTTGTTGATAATCTTGCGATGCTATTACACGATCACTGGGTTTAATGTTTTACCTGAGTTCCATTTTAAACTTGATCGCCGGGAAGGGACCGCGGTACGTGTTAAAGGCTTCGCACTTCGTAGTTAAACTCTTACAAGCTCTGAGGATCCATCAAGCTCGCCTTGTCCCGATGCTATGGTGGAAAAACAGACTCACTAACGGTAGTGAAAGCCCAAAAAAGCTGTTGTTTTCCATGATCTCACATGTATCGCCATGTCACATGTATCGCCTTGATTTCAGTTGTGGCGCGAACAGGAGAGAGGTTAAAGTTGCGTCTTTAGGTCTGTAAGACGTGATGACGATTGTGATTGTTTGCTTTCTTGGAAGTGCAAGTGGGAGATGTGGGTCCACGACCAGGGTCTGCTTTTTTCACTGAATGTGATGGACGTGCAATAATTAACACCGTCTCGACGTCCAAAACCTATAGCTTCACGTTTTGAAAACCATGTCGACTACATCGTCCGCCGTCGAGATTACTCTGCAGAGTTTTGGTCTCCCCAGTATGATTGAGGCTTTACACCAAATGCACCGGGTGGCTATACAAAACCTTAGCCATTACATAAAGAACCTTTCAGCAATTTGTTGTGGTTGTTGTATATGGAATTAAGTATAGTTTTTTTTATCGAATTGCGTAAGCAAAAGTAGATGATCTACTGTAGATCACACATGTTCAAGCTGCACGACACCGGAAGCAAATTGATTATAGCTGTGAAGCCGACAAGTCCGACACTCGTAAAAGGATACCTGACTAGGACTACCACGCGCAACCGCGATCAGAGAAAGAGATGCATGTGTCCCGCCGGCCACGCGCGAATGCCCCCTCCCCCGTCTCCCTGCAACGCCTCCTCGGAGAGGCCGTCGGTTGCTACGGGTGCGGCACGAAAAACCCTCACGGCTTCCAGCTGCACAGCTACGTCAAGCGGTTTTCGCATGACAAATCTGCAACGAAAAAAACCCACGTTGCGGTGGAGAGTCTCTGGCACCCGAAAGAACATTATGACAGTACACAACTCCCCCTCCCCTTCATTTGTATTGCATGAGCGGCAATGCAAGCAACAGCAAGAGCGCCCGTTTTATTGCAATACGAATTTACGCTCCTGGAGTGTAGTACGATTTGGGCTTTCGGAATTTGTCATGCAAACGGTGCCACAGGGCAGCGACTGGACTCGGGATTTTGCATGACAAACAAGGCCCGAGCACGGGGACAGAGTCCCCGTGCGGCGACCTTCCGGCATTTGTCTGCGCGGTGGCACTGGGCAGGCAGGTGGGTCGCCTGCAGCTAGGTATCTCGGTGCGCCTTGCATTCACTGACCCGCGACGGGCCTGCGGACGCCGCCCCCTGTCTTGCGCGCACTAGATTCATTAGCCTGCCGCGCGCAAAGATAAAAATAAGAAACGAAGAAACTGGCGCAACCCCATGAGAGCCATTTCCAGTCGTGTTTTGGACTTTGTGATGCTGTAAACAGGATGAGTAGATTGACTTGTGTTGCGGCTGTACTTGCTATAAACTGCACTACACTACAGAGAGGAACTTGTCATGCTTGATTCCCAAAACTTCTCGATTTGTGTTGCGAGATCCCCATCTTGACTATGGGGTGGGGACGTTTTTACGCAGGATACCATGTTCTGGATCTCCACCCCGTGAAGCTCGGGCGGGGCGGAAAACACGGGGAAGGGGACGACGAGGAGCGTGGGTATTACACCGATGAAGACAGCGACTACGAGAACGATAGCAACGTGTTCAACGATAGTGAAGATGAGGGCCGGTGGGAGTTTTTATGAAAGCCTCAGGTTGGAAATCCTCAAAGTGAAAATGATTTGTAATGCAAATAAACGACTCCAGTTGAGGCACCATTTCTAGCCGGCGCAAGACAAATTTAGTGGGCACTCGAAACGTGTCTGTCATGCTAGCTAGGCAAAGGGGTGCCTTTCTCTCGTGCTAATCAGTAGCCCAGTTCTGACCCGTACAAGCACAATAGTCGGCCTCCATTGCGTTCTCTGCAATACCAATACACTCTTTTTGGTCTCGCATTTCATGCATCACAAACAGTTGTGGCGCGAACAGGAGAGAGGTTAAAGTTGCGTCTTTAGGTCTGTGAGACGTGATGATGATTGTGATTCTTTGCTTCTTCCTGCTTGGACGAAGTGGGACACGTGGCCGCACAACCAGGAGGGTCTGCTTCTTTCATTGAATGTGATGGATGTGCAATAACCATCGTCTCCACATCAACTTCAACCAACTTCATAGTTTCACGTTTAAAAAAACCATGTCGACTACATCCGACGGAGTTGTCGGTCCTGAGCAACAGGAATCGCAAAAGCGACCTGCATTCTTGCTCGACGACCTTACTCGCCGGGTGTGCTTTTGGAGAAAAGAAGAAACATCTACCAATGGAGTTGCGGGTGGTATTGTACAAGAACAGGAATCGCAAACGCGACCTGCATTCTTGTTCGACGACGTCATCCGCCGGGTTTGCTTTTGGAGAAAGGAAGAGAGCGTGAAAGTACCAGGGAAAAATGTGATGCAGAAACCGCAAACGGAATTCGACAAGATCCTTGCGGAGTACGAAAAGGATTTGAAGAAGGATGTCGCGGAGCAGGCAGATGCGGCCAACAAGCAGAAATACACAACAACTGGAAATATTTTCGGGTTTGTGCTCTCGCCGAGCAAGATGAACAAATCGACGAGCGGCAGTGTGACGACAAGCAACTGCTCATCTGCGTCTATCAAGAAACAGCAGAAATCACGGCAGCGCGGCACCAAGACCGGCAGTTCCAAGAACGCCGCTACTGTCTCTTCCGCTGCGCCGGGTGGTGGTGAAGAACATGATGAAATCAAGCTCGTGGACAATATCGCGAACGACTCTCGTAGAAGTGAATCGGAGACCACCACCACAAGTACAGATGAACCCGAGTGCTCCTGTGCGGGTCGCTCGGACGAGACCAAATCCACAGCCTGCACGACCTCCTGGTGGCGGAAAATTTTGCTTTTCCTCGGGGTTTTTACCGGTTTGTTGACACCCGTATCACCAGTGACGATAACTTCTTGCTTCACCTCCTTGATTGCATGTCATTCGGACCTTTTGTCGTGTTTGTTTGTCATGTCATGCTCGGGGGAATCAATGAAACTGCGCCTGAACAATTTGTATAAATGCAAGCAGTAAAAAGATGAAGATCTCTGCGTCCACCGTTTTATCTTTAGTATTGTTCTTTCATGCTGCACTTGCTCTTATACCACGCGCGAAGCGGTGTGTCGCAGGGAAAGTTATTGCAAAATCTGATAGCTGACGTTTGTTCTCGCGCGACAGCACATGGGGAGGCGGATGCGGTACGCTGTTGCAAAAATGTAGCTTTGCCCGTAGAGTCCATGATGTTGGATATTCAAGGCAGATGATTGATCATTCTCATTGCGCTTTTCAATACTAAAGAAGATCTGCATCGTGCGTATCAATCTTTGTTTCGTGTCCTCGCATCTGTAGTCGCCACAGAGTCAAGCATTTTTGCAATGCATACCGGATCGAGCGAGGACATCGATCCAGCGGGTGGCGAGGGGCCAAGTATGGGAATGTCAGGCCTGAAATTGCAATTGGTAAAGTTCAAACCGAAACGATTTGCAATGCATAAAATCGACTCCAGTTCGATCCACAGTTTTTACCCGGCCCGTAGCATCAAATTTTCCTAGAATCTCGAGCAAATCTGTCATGCTGTGCAGCAGGGGAGATGAACCAGAAGAGCTCGTTCCTTCTGTCATGCTAGTCATTTGCCCAGCTCTACTTGGCTTTGACCTTTAGCAGGACGATAATCATCTGCCTGCCTTGCGTCCCCTGCAATGGAGTCGCTTTCTGTGTCGCATTATACACATCATAGTTTACGTATTTCAACCTCGTCAATCTGTGTCCTGACGTTTCCATACCAACATGGGGCGCAGGAATAGTCCAGCAGAAGCAAACGGCGGTGGAGATCGATGGATCGGCTAGTGTGTCGACGACTGGTATGGGACGAAAAAATTTACAGCGTACAGCATTGATATTCATATTCTTTTTCTTCCGTTCCTCATCACATTGTAATCTATCTGTGTGAAGGCTGTAGTTTTGCATGTATCATCCTCATGACCACTGAAGCCGAGCTACGTATACGCACGTTAGAAGAGTGCTTCAAGTTCAGTTGTGGCGCGAACAGGAGAGAGGTTAAAGTTGCGTCTTTAGGTCTGTGAGACGTGATGATGATTGTGATTCTTTGCTTCTTCCTGCTTGGACGAAGTGGGACACGTGGCTCCACGACCAGGAGGGTCTGCTTCTTTCACTCAATGTGATGGATGTGCAATTTTCAACACTTCAACCAACTTCATAGTTTCACGTTTAAAAGAACATGTCGACTACATCCGACGGAGTTGTCGTTCCTGAGCAACAGGAAGCGCAAGAGCGACCTGCCTTGCTCGACGACCTCACTCGTCGGCTGATGTGCCTCTGGAGAAAAGAAGAAATGCAAACATGTACCAGCGATGGTGTTGGTGGTGCTGGGCAAGAACAGGAATCGCAAACGCGACCTGCATTTTTGTCCGACTACCTGTTCCGACGGGTTGTGTGTTTTTGGCGGAAGGAGGAGGAGGTGAAAATGCCCGGCAAAGCAACCGCACCGCAGAAAACGAAAACGGAATTCGACAAGATCCTTGCGGAGTACGAAAAGGATTTGAAGAAGGATGTCGCGGAGCAGGCGGATGCGGCCAACAAGCAGAAATACACAACAGCTGGGAATATTTTCGGGCTTGTGCTCTCGCCGAGCAAGATGAAAAACTCTACTAAAGCGACGTCTGCTACCAACGATCCGTCCACAGTGTCGGCGCAACCAATCAACAGCGGCAGTTTGACAGCTAGTAGCTCGTCTGCGTCTACCACGAAACAGCAGAAATCACGGCGGCGCGGCATCAAGACGGGCAGAAGTTCCAAGAACGCCAGTACTAGTGTCTCTACTGCGCTGGGCGGTGGTGAAAAACATGATGAAGTCAAGCTCGTGGACGACATTGCGAACAACTCTCGTAGAAGTGAATCCGAGACCACCACTACAAGTACGGATGAAGCCGAGTGCTCCTGTGCGGGTCGCTCGGACGAGAACAAATCCACAACCTGCACCAGCTCCTGGTGGTGGAAAGTTTTGCTTTTCCTCGGCGCTTTGACCGTTTTGACACCGGTATATTTATACATAGATACCACGACGCCTGAACAAGTAGATGAGATGATTTGCATTTGATTTCTCGGTTTTTTTTGGCTCAATACACGACGTTTCACACAAGCAACCTGTTCCTGTGCATGAAAAATGACAAACACAAGAACTACTTTTCTGAAACTGAAACAATGTCTTGTTTGCGTCACGTAGATGAAAATGTAGCTCTAAGAGCTAGGTGCTGCATGTTGATCAACATCACATCATGATAAAACAGACGTTCGTTTTCGCGCGCAAACGCATGTTGCGGCGGGTGTATGCTGTGCAAAAGCGTTGCTTGATATTTTTTTTTAAATGTGCGACGTGCCATGGTAGTGGTTAAAAAGATTCGTGTCGCAATATGAAGCTTTTATTTGTCCCCTCGTAAAAATACTAGTATCTACTATTTTGTATAGCTGCATGACATCATGGGCAGAAAGTCAGAGTCAGACACTTTTGCACCGCATACCGGACAGGATGAAATCAAGCCAGCGGAAGTCAAAGAAGCAGCGGGTGCAGCCACTATGAGAGCGCACAACTCCCCCTCCACGTCATAATTTGGAAGGGGGCATGAACAGCTTTCCTTCGTCAGCAAGAGTGCAGGTTTGGCATGACAAATTTATTTATTGCGCAGGATTGTAGTGCTGTTTGGGCCTAGTGCCAGCACTTTTTGTAATGCAAACATTTCCTCTTAGAGGCGAGGCGTGAATATCAGTTTCGTTTTGCATGACAAATGAGGGGTTTTGATATGGTGCAGTCTGGTACGCATGACAAATGAGGGATGGTGGAGGAGGAGTTGTGCACTCTGATAGCTACGGAGAGCAGCGGTGCAGCAGCTGTCCAGCAGGAACCAACGGTGGTGGACATCGAGGGGTCCGGGACCGTTTCGAGTGATCGTAGGGGATCGGAAATTAGAAGAACGCAGCATTGATGTTGTATTTCTCTTCAACTTGCATGCAGCAACGTCAAGACGAACGTATATTTGTTGAAAATGAAGAAAATGAAGAACTCGAACCCAAACCTCCGCACGCCCCCCTAGTGCAGGATAAATGATGATGATGATGAACATGAACTTGTCATGCAACACCTACAGCTGCGTCTCTCTGCGCCAGTGGTCGCAGCCCCACCAATTCAGTCACAGTATACAACATTTTTATAAGTTTGAGCAGCTGTGGCTTAGGAAATGTTGAAGATTGTGAACAATGCCACTTCGTTCCTCTAGCATAAGCAGCGGTGCCAGCACCTGGGAAACGATTTCGAACTCGATTTACTCGGCGTTTCTGGGAACGAGCGGTATTGAGCTGTTCTTTTCACACGGTGCGTACACGTAGGACCTCGTCCGCATGACATTCTAGTGCGCTTCTACCCTATGATGTCGTTCCTTCTGGAATTTCGTGTTCTCTAAAATAATCAAACTGAAGGTGATCCTGCACAAAAAATCCCAGCAGATGTGATTGCTGACGGACAGAAACAAGAGGTGGGAGCAAAGCCGTCTTCGGCCATCGAAATGCAAACCGCGGGAGGAAAGCAAAGTGGAGACCAGAAAATGGAACGTAGTGGGAGTGATACAAGGACAACAGTTGTAGGATTGGAAGGCAGCACGGGGACTGCAACGGGTATCAAATTGTTGACATTATTGAAATTCATTCCTCCAGACGCAAACTTGTGCGTGCTTATCTCAGGAGCTTCTGTATCTGTTTATGTGTGATTGCGAAATGTAGACTCTGACGCCAACGTTTGTTGCGAGACCGAATTAGAATTTGCAACTCGAGTATGAATGAACTCTGTTGTGAGACGGAATTTCATATTATAAAATTTACGGAACTTGTTTGATTGAAACATCAGATACTCTTCCTTCATCAGCTGTTCCGTCGGCCTCTACAAATGATGTCGTCGCCGAAACTGCTATGGAAAAGCAAGATGCAAAAGCTGCACCTGCGTCGGTTATCGAAGTGAAGCCACCAGCTGCGGCTTCGACTGGTCAGGAAAGTGGGTTGGCGAAGAGCGGTACTGAACTGTTGAAGTTGATGTTTCTGTAACCATGCGTGTGATTTACCTGTGTTGGCACCTTGATACTTCTTACAAATTGCTATTGTATTTGCACGGATTCACTTGATGCGCGTGTCTTCACCACTTTCACAGAAACGCCGACGAGTGTCGCCTCGGATTCTGCAGACATCGCGTCAGCGAATGTTGAGCAGCAGCTGGATGAGCAGCGCAAACTATCATCGGCAACCGAAACAAAAACAGATGAATCGGGTTTCTCCACATCCTCTGCTGTGGAAAAACACACGACAGAAGCACAACTCGAGAAGCAGAACGGCCCTAAAGCAGCAGGAGAAAGCGAGAAGAGCCAGATTGTAGCTGGAGGTCCCTCATCTGTCGTGTCTACTGCCGCAAGAACCGCTGCTGCGGAGCCGGCGAAGGTAGAGCAGGTTGAGCATGATCATGAACGACAAAGCAACGCGCAAACGAAGTTGCTGTCGTCCTCTACAAGCGGCGTTTCTTCTTCTGGTGCAGCTCCTTCGTCAGCTACCATGTCGATTTCGGGTTCTCCCGAATCGCAGGTGAAAACCCAAGAAACGAAAGCGGGGCATGCGCAGTCTTTGGAAATTGCCGGAAGCAGCCCGACTGACAGTGATGAACTGGATTCAACTACAACCAGACGAGCGGGTATTAAGGCGAAACAAGAACAATCCGGAAGCGGCACCGGAGATGAACATGAAGGCGATGAATTAAAGGACTCAGTAGAGATGAAGGACGAAAATGCGCCAGCCGATGGCCGAACTGCGGGTGAAGTGGTGCTGGAGATGAAGAAAGGCAACAAAATAGTAGGAGACAGATGCAGCCAAGGTAGCGAATGTCTTTCGGGGAAGTGTAGCACATTTAAAGGAAAAAAGCAGTGCCGACCATCTAGTGGGGGTTGAAATCACGGTGGGACTGTGTTGTCGCTCGCCGGTGAGTGGAAGAAGACAAAGTACTGTCGGAACCCAAGTACAAACTGGAATAGGATGTGAAGATGCTTAAAATAGTGTATGATTGCAATACCCCCCCACAAAGGTGCACCTGCTTGCTTTTTATAATTTCGGCCTAGAGCACCCACATCCAGTTTCCTCCAGGAAGCCGTGCTGCTGCGTGTTCTTCTACAGGCAAATTCACAAGCGCGGCCTGAGTTGTGAACGAAAGAGGAGAGCATTGGGACGAGACAGAAAGAGGTCAACGCTTCGTCTTTAGGCTTATGAGGCAGTATTGTAACTGTCTGCTTAGAAGTCGAAGTGCGAGTGCTACTGCTACATCGTGTGGCGCGAAGAATGAGCGACGCCAAACGTCGGTTCGGAAATCATGAATTGTGAGGCCGCGGTAACGAAGATGTTGATGTAAATCATGCGCAGAAGCAAAAAGCTTTTAACTGATTTATCTTTATCACAATGATACGGATCTGCAGCATACTTTTCGTTTTCTGATGCATCCGCCGTCGAGGTTGCTCTTCAGAGTATGCTCCCCCAAGTCAGTATAGTAAGGTTTTGGAGCCCAGCAATAATTGCAATGGGCGGGCGTGCAAAAGCTTACCTATTACCGTATAAAAATCTTGCAGGAATTTTGCTTGAAGTTTTAGTTTATCGAATTGAGTAGATCGCTTACACTCAAGGAGCATGACACCCGAAGCAAATTGAGCATAAAAAGTGTGAGGCCGACGAGTCGGATATTAATTTATAAAAGAACTACGACTACCCGGGAACTACGACTACCATCCGCAACTGCTATCAGAGATACATGTATCACGCCCGGCACGCATGAATCCTTCATCCCCCGTCTCCCTCCAACGCCTCCTCGGGGAGGCCGTCGGCTGCTACGGGTGCGGCACGAAAAACCCCCACGGCTTCCAACTTCACAGCTACATCAAGCGGCTTTCGCATGACAAATCTCCAGCGAAAAAAACCGCCGTCGCGGTGGAAAGTCTCTGGTACCCGAAAGAGTACCACTGCGGCCCTCCGGGGTTTCTGTACGGGGGGTTAAGCGCTTCTTTACTGGACTGCCTGGCGAACTGGGCGGCGGCGGTGCATCGAGGGGTGGAGGAACTGGGGGCACCAGGAGGCATACCTGAATCAGCTTCAGCTGGCCTTTCGTGGATTGCTGATGCAGATCATCGCTCGAATCGCCACGACGGCGACCTTCCCTCCTTCCTCACCGACCCAGAATTCCACCTCTCCACCGTCCGCGCACTGCAGGAAAAGAGCAGACACCTGCCGCTTCCGGTCACGGGATCGTTGCAACTGAAGTATCTGAAACCAGTGCCGATAAGAGTTATCGCGGACACCAGTACCACCGCCGGCGCCCATTCGGATGGAGCACCACCAGCACCTGGAGAAACGACTGAAGGCGGTGGCGGTGTTACAGTATGCTTTCCAAAAGTATCGTACCGGTACGTAGTATAAATCAAAACTATACAACAAAGAACTGCCTCAGCATTACTTGTAATGCGGATTAACCTATAACAACAGGATTTGTAGTCGTAGTGCATAACTGCGATTACTAACTACGAGCGCGATACTTTTGCACAGGATATACAGCACCAACAACAAACGGCGTCTACCTCCACGCTCACGTAGAGAAAGCCGAGGGGCGGAAGTATTTCGTTTCGGGTGGGATTTTTGTCGAAAAACCGGAACAACCAATTGTCGTTTTAGATAACGCTGATCGTTCGTACAAGGATGCAGCGGTGACGTGTACCGCCGTGCTGATTTTTCCGAAACAGAAACTGGCTGATACAACCACTCCTAGCACTGGCAAGCAAGAAGTAGTTGAGCCCCAGATGAGAAATAGCGCAGAAATTCCCTCGCGGTTGTGAGGTGGAGCAAGGCTATTCGAAAAAGTTTCGCCAGAAGGATCTGCTCATCTTCCCTGTTCGTGATTCAGCTTGGGTGTTACGCGTGTTCGAGGACCGTCGAACAAACATAAAGATGAGTGATGCTAGATCCATATCTCCAGCACCAGCACCGGGCGTTGCTTCACCTCCGTGTGAAGTTTTGATCTTTGACTGCGTTCTTCCCACCCGCTGCGCCCCAACTGTGGTGTCATTTGAGAATGAGATCAAGGTGAAAAACAAAGGTCTATGTCGCGGTTGTTCAGCAAACTGACTAGGTTGCACATGACAAACACAAATATCCACGTAAAATAATGTCCCTCGTCCTCTCGCCCGAGGATCAAAATAGCGGTTTCTTTTCGTCCCCCTCGCCAGGAGGTGGAGGCCACAATGCGACGGCATCGTCCCCAGACCACGCAGGCGGATTCGGCATGACAACTAGCGGAGTTATTCCTGCTCCCGATGGTCATCTCGCGCAAGGACAAGGCGGAACCAGCTACACCGAGGAGCAGCTTGCGGCGCAACAGTACATATGCATTGCAAATATGTCTGGGTCTGGAAACTTGCGATGCAAGGAAGGGAATAGCGAGCTCGCTGTAATTATACACTGCCAACCATGACAAGTTTTTTCCTGGTTCTAAATTGCGTACTCCGCATGAGACGCTGCGTTTCCGCATGACAAGCGAGAGGAGCTCCATGCAGCCACGCAACACAGAGTCCAGTGTCATTCCAGACTAGCATGACAAGCCTCGCAATCTCCCAGATCCAGACATATTTGCATTTGATAGTACATCGAGGAACACGACCTGGAAGAGCTCCTGGCCGGTTTAGTGAATCACATTCTAGCGCTTCGGCCCGGTAGTTCTTCGGCAACTAGAAGTACTTCTTTGAAAAACACGGTGGACACAGAACCGCAGGCCCTGCAGGCCGCTGCGCAGAATGTGCATGAGCATGACAAATTCACCCCCGCCATCGCCGGCATTCTGTACTTGGCGCAGCGGGTGGACAGTCACGAGTTGCTGAAGAAACACGGAATATCCAGGAGTGCAAAAGTATCGTATTCGTTTTCGTACTAGTTGCAGCAATCACGCATGACATTTCTTCCTTGTTTACCCAAAACTGCATCACAAATTCTTGCATTTTCATCTTTTGAGAAGATTTGTCATGCACCTGAAGCTGTTACTAGTACGATCGGTGGATCTTCCTTTTGCAATGCATACGGAATCACGATTGACAATGAGTTGGTGAACGCATTCCGCTTGCCGAGGGAGGCGGAGAGGGAGAGAGAAGCGAAGGCGAGGGAAAGAGGTATGGAATCCGGATCATGTTTCCTGCATGACAATTGGCAAAAGTAATCTTCTTTCAGCATGACAGATTGCACCTCATCAAACTAACCAATAGCAATATCGAAAAAACACCTCCGCCCAGCCCTCACCGAACCGTTCGCGGATACCGTGTATCAAACGAAAAAGTGTTAACCTTAACTGTTTTTACAGTTGACAGCCATGCATTACAAATTTTGCCTGCCATGCATGCTACGCAATACAAATTTGCGCACTTTTTCTGATGCATCACTGCATCACAAATTCCGGTAACTTGGTTAACATTTTTTCTTGTGACACCGTGTGGGAAAAGCTCATCGCCCCGGCTCTGCGAGCAGGACAGTCTCTGCAAGCGGTTTTTGAGGAGAGCAATGGTGTCATTGGGGAATCTACAACGAGCAGCGACATGCTGTTGAACTTGAACACTGGTGGAAATAATATTAAAACGTCAACCTCTGGAGCCGCGACAATGATTGGTGCTGGAGCGAACAATATTTTGAAATCCACGAAGTTTTTCACCTGGCTGACCGAAGCGTTGCTGGATTTCACGAAAGGTGGTGCGACTAGTGTGGTTCTTCATCCGGACGGCGATGAAGGTGCTGGCCAACAACAAAAGTTGTCGTCAGGCAAGAAACACAGTGACCACTACCAGCTAGAGCAGCTGCCCCAGGTAACACTCGATGAAGTCGCCGTCTACAGGATTAGCCTACTTGCGGAGAAAGAGCCGGACGTGGTTTTTGATTGCAAAGACGAAGAGGAGAAGACTTTTTTGGACTTCTTGCTGGATTACGACCCAACATCCTCTACCGATAAAAACACTGCAACAAAAAATAATTCCAAGGAGAAACAAAACACCAATTTGGTACTGGCCGCTGCAAAAGCGGCTGCGAATTGGATTAAAAACAACAATTCCTCGGTGCTGGCGAATAGAACGAAGAAGCCGGTCGGAGGGACGAGTAAGGAAAAGTGAGCAGGAGGCTGTACCCTATTGTGAAGATCGACATGGAGTAGACTGGAGTGCTATCGTGGTCTCTTTGTCTGAATAAAAACCAGCACACACAAGGTCACGAAATTCTTGCACGCCCAAACCTCCGAGTACAAAAGTATAACAATTCGGAAATGTGCCCACTTCTGTCGGAAATTGATTCCACCACGAGGACATGCGGCGTATACTAAACGCTGGTAGACCACTGGGCAGCTTGATACCTCCTACACTCTGCGCTGCCGGTCGTTGTTCATCTTCTCTCGTCGTTTTATTTTATGAACTCGCTTCATAAGGCCAGTATATCATTCGTTTGGCCAGCTGTTTTACTTTCAGTATCTCTCTCCAAAGACACAGCTTTTCTTGTTTTCTCTGCAAACTTAAAGCGCCAGATATTATAAGTGCTTTTTCTTTATTGAAGAAGCGGGTAGCTTGTTGAGCAAGCTGAAACTCGCCGCATCGTGGTGATCACACGTTGCAGTTTTTCTGATCGTCTTGATCCAGATCAACATCGATATTCCGCAGCGGAACACTGCTCACAAAGATCTGCTATCTTGTCGTCAAGGTCACTCGTCTGGTCGGCGAAAATCTTTTTGTTGTTATAAACTTCATTTTTGCGCTAGTGAAAAAGAAGTTGGAATACTAGGACTTCTTACGAGGTGATCGTAGTTGACATTGACACACGTATTTACTACTTCTACATATTTATTTTTTCCTTTGTTCCGCATTTTTTCGTTATCCTGCTAGTAGACACACTTTGTTCAATGAGGTTTACTTCTGTGCAGTAGTACTTGCGGCTATCGAGGACGACGAATAAAATGCGGTTGCCGACACCACCGCCCGTGCGGCTTGGTGTAACAGGAAGAAGCAGCTGACACATAGTTTAGTGTGGCATAAACTTCTGGTCTATCATTGTCGCAGCCTCGGCCACTACTGGATGAGCTGACCCCTGGGCCGTCGTTACCGCTTGTCTGACACAGACTTTGATCCGGCACTGTAAGGCTCGAAGAGAGCTGCAGGTCGCGTCCGGATCTTCACAGGTGGGACACCGACGCACAACTACCAGAAGGAACTCAAGGCGGAATACTAAAACAAGAGGAACACCAATATTTTTAGCCCCCGAAAAAATAAGATAAGTTCGGACCTCCACCATGTCGGAGTTACAGGGGAACATGGATCAACCTGGCATGAACACGCTGGATGAGCCGGTGATAGACACGATAAAAAGAGATGTAAACGCCATTGCCGAAAAGCTGCACTACGTGCTGTTACCGAAGGCACGGGTGGACAAGGTACAAGTTGCTTTTTTGTCTGATACGATCGTGATGTGATAATTGTGCATCACAGAGCAGATGGCGTGGTGTAGTATTAGCCACCCCGGCACATATGATTTCAATATTTCCCGCACGACCTCTTGTCAGGGCGCCGGCCTCCGAAAGTGGGATCTCTGGGGTCCCTTGTTTCTCTGCCTCGCCCTCTCCTATCAACTGTAAAAAAAGTGTCTGGGTCTGGAAGAATCCTACTTTTCATGCTGATTTTGGATTCTAAAAAAATAAAAATCTGTATTGCGTGAGCAGCAAAGAGAGTCCAAGTTTTGCTACACGGAAAGAGCATTTGTCATGCGGTATGGGCATCAGGAAGTCCTCACAAAATCTGCGATGCTAGGGCATGCATCACAGACGTCAGGAGTCATGCAAAATGTGCATGACAAACCTGGCAATCTTCCAGACCCAGACACTTTTACATTTGATATCTCCACCGTCCTAGCCATGCAGGCACACAAGGAGCAGGCTGGGAGAGCCTTCGCCCTCGTGTTTATACTCGTGTGGTATAGAAGTACAAAAATGTTGTTGATACAATTTGTTCGCAAAGGCTTCTTGACAGATGTGTCGTATAATCGGATCTCATGTTACGCATGACAAGGCTGTTTGTTTTGTTGCATTAAAACAGAAGAAAAATCAGGGCCGGCTCCGGTGTCGTCACACTGAACACAGTGTTACTGAAGGGAAAAATCTCCTTTTTCCAGAGCGTGTGTGTCCTCGGGTACTGCATCTTTCCGCTCGTCCTCGCAGCGGTCGCCTCGGCAATAGTATCGTGGAAGATACTGAAGGTAATGTTGTCGCTCAAGAGCATTTTCATGGAAATGGAATGCTATTCCTGCATGACAGATCCCGTCGCGGGATTATGTAAATGCATGACAAGTTCTTGTACAGTGAAAATCATGATTAGCATATGTATCGAATAAACTTTGTACCAAAAAAAACCACCCGCTCAGGTTATCTTCGTCGTCATTGGCTTCATATGGGCAACCGGCGCCTCTGTTGGGTTTATGAGCGACATTGTGCCAGAGGACCGGAAAGCGCTAGGAGTGTACCCGGTATGGCTCTTCTACGTGGCAATAGCCTGGATGATTCTGCTCGCATAGTCAATTTTCGACAACTGCATCTTGATGTTGGGGTGACTATGTCGTGGAATAAAGTTGTGGGTCAGTAGGGTACTATGTCCGACGAAGTCCAGCTTCCCTTGCCAGTCAGACGAAAACTTTCGCAAAAAAGCGAAACAGAAAAAAAAAAATCAAAATCATGGACTTGCACCCGTTCTTGCATCGTGTTCTAAAAAGCTGGTCCTTGTTGAATGCAACCATGAAAACAGATGAGAGCAGAGGATCATCATGGACAGTCAGTCTGAAAGAGCGGATATGGAAACGTCTTTCCAGGTGGTCCCGGTGCTTGTTTTCGGTACGTTTTTGAGTCGTCCGTATTGGCGACTATCCAGCAACATCTTCGTAGGATCCATAAAGGCTCTGACTGACAGTGTCAGTGGCTCGTGTTTTCGTCCTGTGCGGTTCGTTTCTCGTGTGCAAATCACCTTCAAATCATACACCGTAGTCGTAGATTCGATTGTTGCCATGCGCGACAAGATGAATCAGGCTCTTAAGCGAAGATCCACCTCTCACAAGCAGATACCGGTCGAACGATCTTTGTCACTCACTTCTCCTGTGCGAAAATTGCTATCAGGTTGAAATACGACTAGTAGTACGAGCTACAACATACTTTTTGTTGTCGTGGCGATAGTCATCATCACTTGTTTTTTACTTCGTAAGGCTGATTTTGATTTGTCTCCAGCGACATGTAAGTTTCAACAGCACCCAGGACCGCATTTGATTTTTCTACGATGTGAAAAATTGCAGATATTACTTAGCATTTAGACCCTCCCCGCCGCGCCCCCAGGGTGTTTCGTCTATCAATTTATTTAGAGCAAGAGCTTAGTATATTTTTTTCTCCTACGACCATCAGTTAATTTGATGAATCAATCTCCAAGTTCATCGACAAACAATGCTCGCCGACAGCAGCTTCGATGACCCCGAGTTTACCACGGTCACTATCAAAGAGCAAATAAAGTGTTAATGCTAACGGAATAAAAATTTGTGATGCAGGAACGCATGCATCACAAAAGGGGCCCACATTTTTCTTGCATTTGTATTGCATAGCATGCATTCTAAGCAAAATTTGTCATGCTTTTCTGCAATCTGTGTAAACCCGTAAGTACTAAACGTTAGCACGTCATTTTTGTTTGATAGTCACCCTCAGTGGTCAGCGGTACCGAAAAGTTCTTCTCCCCGACCATGTATCCTGAGGAAAAACGTCCCCACCCCATACTTGTCATGCAGCTTTGCAGTTACAGGAAGATTTGTAATGCGCAACCCCATGAGAGCCATTTCCAATCGTGTTTTGGACTTTGTGATGCTGTAAACAGGATGAGTAGATGGACTTGTGTTGTGGCTGTTGTACTTGCTATAAACTGCACTACACTACAGAGAGGAATTTGTCATGCTTGATTCTCAAAGCTTCTCGATTTGTGTTGCGAGATCCCCATCTTGACTATGGGGTGGGGACGTTTTTACGCAGGATACCATGTTCTGGATCTCCACCCCGTGAAGCTCGGGCGGGGCGGGAAACACGTATCAAATGCAAAAATGTCTGGGTCTGGAAGATTGGAACTTGTGATGCTAACTTTGGACTCTAAAAAGATCTGTATTCCATGACCAGCAAGAGGAGTCTAGTTTGTGCTACGCGGGGAGGGCGTTTGTCATGCGGAGTAGGCATCAGGAAGCCCTCTAAAAATCTGCGATGCTAGGGCGTGCATTACAGACGTCCTGGGTCAACATGCAAAACATGCATGACAAGTTTCAGAATCTTCCAGACCCAGACATTTTTGCATTTGATAACACGGGGAAGAAGACGACGAGGAGCGTGGGCATTATTACACCGATGAAGACAGCGACTACGAGAACGACAGCAACGTCTTCAACGATAGCGAGGATGAGGGTCGGTGGGAGTTTTTGGAGGTTGAGGACAAGTACGAGTATCGGCTCCCCGTGCCGCAAGTCTACTTCAAATTCCTCATCGGGGCGAATCACAAGACCTTGAAGAAAATGGAGCAAGACACGGGGTGCGAGATCCTGTGCAAGGAGGGACAGGCGCCTGTTGGGAAAATGACAAACGCGAAAACGGGGGACGAAATCGACGGGCACGTGGCCATTCGGGCCAGGGACAAAATGTCGCTGAAAGCGGGGAAAGGGGCCGTTGAGTACTTACTCTTCTCTGTGCATTGAAAAGCCTTAACCTACGTTCTTTACGCAATGCATTTGTAAAATGCAGCTATGCTTACAATGCTTGTTATGCTAGTCCTTCTGATGCCAAGTAGAGTGCTGTAACAGATAGAAGCGTGCTTCGTGTGTGTTGTGTTTTTCCATGAAAATCATCTCTAAAAACAATACTAGGTACACAATGGAGCTGGCAGAACAAAAAATCCCGATGACGCACTTTTTCAACGTGAGGATACCCGCAAATTCCATCGTGCCCACCAAATTCCAGCAGTGGTTGGACACAAAGCAGTGCGTGGAGTTGAATCCCCACTACTTCCAGAAGCCCGAGCGGTTACACTTCACGCTGTTGCCGTTGAAGCTTCACACGAAGGAGAAATATGAGAGTGCACAACTACTGCCCCTCCCCCTCATTTGTATAGCATGAACGGCAATACAAGCGTCAGCAAGAGTGCTGGCTTCGCGTGATAGATTTGCCCAGCAGGGGTGTAGTAATGTTTGGTACCACTCCGGAGTTTGTCATGCAAACAGTGCCAACAGGCACAGCCTGGATTTGGTATTTTGCATGACATCAAATGAGGGGGAGCAGGGGGGGTTGTGCACTGTCATAAGAAAATCGAGAAAGTGAAACAGATTATCCGGGAACTGAACGCCAGTGACTGGTTTCCGGACGCGGTTATGACAGCCTCAGAATGGAAATCCTCAAAGTGGAAATGATTTGTAATGCAAAAAAACGACTCCAGTTGAAGCGCCATTTCTAATCGGCGCATGACAAATTTCCCGGGCACTCAAAACATGTGTGTCATGCTAGTTAGGGCAAAGGTGTGCTGCCCTTCTCTCGTGCTAATCAGCAGCCCACTTCCTCGGAACCCGTAGAAGCACAATAGTCGGCCTCCATTGCGTCCGCTGCAATACAGTCTTTTTGGTGTCGCATTTTATGCATCACAAATTATTTCCACTTTGAGAATTTCCATTCTGAGGCTTTCATAGCGGTGGAGCGGTTTCGGTTAGATTTATCAAAGAAAAAAACATTGTAGGTGTAACTTTTTTGGAGGAACAGCATTACAAATCTGTCTGGCATGACAGCAAAAACCTGTCATGCGCAGACAGTATGTGAAAACGCCCTTTACTGGACCCTACAAGGCATGCCAAGCATGACAGACGCGATCATCTTGCATGTTGCGCATCACAAATTTACACTAACAACGTTTTTTTCTTGGATAAGATTTGAAAGGTCTTCATTACATGAACGACGAACCAGGGAAGGTGAATGTGTTTATCCTGTGCAAAAGTATCGTACTCGTACAAATGCTAATGCAAGTCTTGCGTTACAGATCTTGTTTCCAAGGCAAATCTGCATTACAAATTTTATTTCTCATGCTGAGGAAATTTGTAATGCATTTATACGAGTACGATACTTTTGCAGTTCATAGTGTTGTACACAGAACCAAGCACAGGAGCTGGAGGAGCTTCATCTGCTTCTGCAACGACAAGCAGTTCTGCATCAAGCTCTCATTCTCAACGACCGCCCAACCCTTTAAACCACCTCGTGGACATCCTGTTTCAAATTCTGATCAAAAACGACATTGTCACGAAAGAGTACCTGATGCAGCAACGGTTATTGGATTCAACCGGCAAGAACGCGGATATAAAACCGCACTGCACGCTTTTGAACACGAAATTCTACGTGCAGTACATGGAGAGAACGGGAAAATGGTCCAGCGCCAAGGCGTTCGAGGAGGAAAACGAAAACCCAAGGTTTATCAACGCGAAACCGCTGCTGCAAGCCAACGTGGGGTACGATTTTGGGTCTTTTGAAGCAGTTATCCTTTGCAAACGTATCGCATTCGTAGTTGTAATCGCAGTCATGCATTACAAATTTCGTTTCCAAGGCAAATCAGCATGACAAATTTTATTTGTAATGCTGAGCGAATTTGTATTGCAATAACTACTACGTACGATACTTTTGCAATTCATAGTGGTAGAGGTGGAGTTTTCCGATATGCTGGAGATTGACAGGAACACCCAGTACTTCAAAAAGCTCGCTGGGCTGAAACTAGGATAAAGAACACCGTCGAGGAACAAACTCTGAGAATGTCTCTCCTTTGAAGCACGACGAACAACAAAAAGAATTGACACAAAGATAAAGATAAAGAGCAAGAAAGCCAAAGAAATTCTTTCAATGACACAACATCACTCGCTGTCTTGTTCGATACGTACTTGGCAGGTTTTCATCAAATGGAGATGAATCTAAGCGGATGAATATATCTCCTACACTCTGCGCTGTCGGTCGTTGTTCATCTTCTCTCGTCGTTTTATTTCATGAACTCGCTTCAAACGCCAGTGTATCCGTATCGGTTTAATAGCAGCTGTTTTACTTCGACTTCGAGTATCTCTTTCCCAACAGTTTTTCTTTTCTCTGCAAATTTGAAGTACCAGATAAGTGTATCTTCTTTGATGAAGAAGCGAATAGCTGCTTGATGACCAAACTGAAACCCGCCACCGTATCGTGGTGATCACGCACTTTAGTTTTTCTGATCGTCTTGATCCAGGTTGATATTCCGCAGCGACACACTGCTGAGTAAGATCTCGTTCCTCACTAAGATCTGTTATCTCGTCGTCAAGGTCACTCTCGTCGGCGAAAATGTTTTTGTTCGTTGAAACTCCCACTTTTGCGTACCGAAAAAGAAGTTGGAATCCTAGGACCTACGAGGTGATCGTAGACACGTAATATTACTACTTCTGCATATTTATTTTTTCCTTATCCTTTCCGCATTTCATCCTGCTAGACACACCTTGTGCAATAAGGCTTAGTTCTGTACAGTACTTGCGGCTATCGAGGACGACGATAAAATGCAGTTGCCGACACCACCGCCCGTGCGCCGGGTTCTTGCTGTAACAGGAAGAAGCTGACATCGACAACGCTAGCGAGGGCGTGGAAACAGCTGGTTTATCGCAGCCCCGTGGGCGTCCGCTCGATTAGCTGACACCTGGGCGGCCGTTACTGGTTGTCTGAAACATCAGGAAGATACTGAAGGTAATGCTGTTGCTCAAGAGCATTTTGATGGAAATGGAATGCTATTCCTGCATGACAGATCCCATGGCGGGATTATGTAAATGCATGACAAGTTCTTGTACAGTGAAAATCATGATTAGCATATGTATCGAATAAACTTTGTACTAAAAAAACGATCCGCTCAGGTTATCTTCGTCGTCATTGGCTTCATATGGGCAACCGGCGCCTCTGTTGGGTTGTTCGATACGCTGTCTTGTTCGATACGTACTTGGCAGGTTTTCATCAAATGGAGATAAATCTAAGCGGATGAATTGCATGGGTCTCCACAAAAGTGGATGTGCTGGAAGAGCGAGCGCCTCTTCATAGACCCTAGCGCCGGCCTTTCGAGGTCCAGTAGATTTCTCAGAGGAACATGCAGTGCACTGACTTTCCAACGATGAAGTTATCCCATCACACCCCCGGGAGTCATTAGATAGCTTGCGCCTTTGTTTTTTTTTTAAGACTAGGAAAAGACATGCAACTGGGGAAAGCACGCTATTGCGCATCTCGCACCCGTCAAGCCCAGAAGAACGAGCCAAGGACGCTCCCACCAATGCAGCAACGGCCGTCCCTGGGTGGTTGAGTGTCGTCCAGACCGACGGCGGTAGATTCTACTGGGGGCGGAGGCTAGATTTTCAATAGTGGAGGAAAGATGTCGAATTATGTATGGAGTGCTCTA